ATATATTGATAGGTCAAAGTTACACGGCGCTTGTGGCTCAAGTGGCCTGATTGGAAACCGTGTAAGCTTATCCTGCAAGTACTGTGTCAAATTGAGGTGTAACTCCGAATCTATCATCCTTAGTAGGAGGCCATATCACAACCGGAAGGTCTTGGCAAGTCATGTATCGCATTCCAGACCACTTATCCGGCCATGTATTCAAGTTCTGAGTACTACCTGGAAAGCAGGTCAGACAAGAGCTGCTCTGATTGGTGGACCCCTTCCAAGCCGGATGGGGTAAATACCTTTCTACCACCTATGAAGTCATCGGGAGGCGCCGGGCTGTGCGCGAGTGATTTATGGGCTTATCACGTCCAACTCTACGCTTGATTATAAACAAAGCTGCCTTCCCCGCAATCGCATCACCTCACAACACAGGGCAGTCCAATTCCCCCTTCAACCGCCAACAGCATAATGTCCACCACATACGTACTGCCACCCCTGCAAGCTCCGTTGGCTACCGGATGCTCTTCCCGGATTCGCAGAGTTCTCAAAGCTCCCCAGCGCCCGATCGCTCTTCGGAGAGAATATATCACTGAAGTCAAATCCCTCCTCACATTTAGACCCCAGGGGGACCCAAAATCTGCCATTGGTTATAGCATCCACGACGATGACGGCATAGTCCTGTTCACAGCCTCCGGTCGGAAATTCAACGATCGACCCTGCCGGGAATTCAGAGATGACTCGGGGCTCCCTTTATTCGAGATCTATAGAAAGTCCTTCAGGAACTCCTGGTCCATCTCGCTGCCGGGGAGTAGTAGTGCGAAAATAGCCACTGTTAGCCCGCGACGAACATCTGGTATGTCTGGTTGGGGGGACTTCACCATCACCTTCGACAACGCAGCGGCCTTCGAATCCAAGCGGAAGGAGGATAAGGAGCTCTCCCTAGAGGTCCAAAGTCGCGGGAATGTTCTAGCATTATATGATATTGTGGATGGTGATAGGAAAGTAGCAGAAGTGCGCGAGAGTATACAGCACAATGAGAAGTTGGCCTTGATGAAGCGCTTTCCTAGTTCTAAGCATGGCTATCGACCAGTCCTGGATATCATTATAACTGCGCACGTCGATCAATCACTAGTATGTGATTAGCCCAAACTTAGCATTGACAAATCAGCTGACTGTGTTTCTAGATTGCGGCTGTTGCAGTTATTATATCCGACACAGTTTTCTCTGCGAATGTTTGATCAATGACTTTATGACAACGGGAATTGGAGACAACAATAACTCTGTGGAACTTCCTCCTTAATGTATGGGTGCTACTGCCTTAAGGAGTCCGAACAATCGTGCGTACAAGGCGGTTACACCACCTGCTATCTACTCAATGCCTCCTGCCCAACGTGGCAGGGCTCGTTAACCGTGATGACCTGGATTTACTGATGATTTGTCATATCTACTACTATCTAAGTACGTTGGTTAGCTCCGTCTGTAACTTTCCTATCATTTGCCTACCCGAATGAGAGTTACTGCGTGAGACGAATGTAAATAGTTACTCACTAAATGAATAATGACTGATATGACCAGCACGCTGCTCAAGGCTGTCGGCTTTTTATCTTGATATGAGCCACGGTGTTATGCTTACTTAGGCTGACCATTATACAGCGGAAGTTTCGAAGAGTGTCGTGGATGCATGACGCCGTCACCCCCGTCAAGGCTGATGGTAGTTTGAAGCGCATCATACCAGCTTACACCGTGGCCAATCTCTGCTGCAATTGGGTGCCAACACCACGGGTGCAAATATACGCCAAGATACTGTGTTATGCCTCTTTGTCTGGGAAGTTTACTGGACCATAGAGACAGGTGATCATTTATTTCACACATCGCCTAGCAACCTCGATATTACACCTTAAACAGGAGAGCGTGTAAAGAATCGATCCCTCTTATGTCTAGTTTTAGGCATAGTATAGACGTGTGACGCTACAACACAGATATATATGGAATTGAAAGCGAGGGAACAAAGAAGTACAAGAAATGCCATCAGTAGGGTACCTTCAAGATAGCCGGGAGCACCGGTGGCGTGAAGGTTGCCAGACTTGTTTTCTTGGTTCAAGTTACCGCTAGTTTGGTTTTCTTTATTTATATATCTTCCTAGTATACTGTTGATACTACTCCATAGTGGCACCTACTGTAACCTAACTATGCTTACTAGTGGTTAATTATCCAATCGGACAATATTGCTAATACGCTAGTCACTTAAGGTAACGTTGATTAGCCTCCAGTTTTCGAAGTTTGCTGTCGTCTGTATTAAAGCTGTGCTCAAGTCGAACCATGGGTATGATGTGTTCTTCTATTGGCTCACTTGAATGTTTTCTTGTGCCTCCCCCCTCTACAGATATCTATATATACCATTCCAAGTGATATTACTGGTTTCAGAGCATTAGTAACTTCCTCAGGGACTGTCAGACGGCAGTTGTATTGGCTCAGCAAATAGTTGCCATCGAGGGTCTCCCAAATTCAACTGGTATTAAGCTTCTTGTATCATGCTATGTAACAACTTAGGTGCGTGACATATTGCTCTGCTGTAATGGGAAATATGTCTTCTGGTTCTCGAGAATGTCTTCATCTGTATCTAGAAACATCTTTTCCAAGGCTGTTCGGAATGGATTTGGCTGAAAAAACGCAGGTGATCAGTCCACGGGTCAGGATGAGTAGGATCATTCACTGATATGCCCCCAAATCAATCTGATTGACCGCTTTTCTCACTGTGTCACCTTGGCTCTTGGGAGGCCAACGATGCTGGTGCATATTTGCACCTGCAATGTCTATCTATGGGGTCAACTTAATGATCAACGCAAGATGGCTAGATAAGAACTTCCCTATACTTTCAAAGTCCTTTCTCCTTTCACTCTGGGATCATGAACCTTCTCAAAGGAGGCCTGATATTCAGAGAAACCTGGCACTTGTATGAGTACTCAGCCACAAACATCCCTAAGAGTGCAGAGAAACATGAGACTAATCATAATTCAAGTACTGACTAGAGCAGCAGCGAGCACCCGTCTCTGGGTCCCCACTCACCAAGCGGTGGCGTTTGCGTTACCTTCAACCACTTAAACAAAGAATGCAACCCAACTGTCAGGTCACGGGTGGTCCTGGTATCTATTCTCAATGGCCACAGCATTCTATCGGATGAAAGACCAGACCGTATACCAATCTCAGGTATGACACAAGAGAGGTCAAGAAATCCCGTCCAAGGCTATTCGTAGAAGGGACGGCACACTGACTGAGACCTGGAGTTGGAATATTTTTCTCCAATCAAATACAAGATGTTCACCCGGTGAGAGTGAATATCTTCCTATCTGGGTATATCAAAGCATATGACGAACAAGCATGAGGTTGGCTGCCATCTTCCCCAGGCACCCGACCCATTCCTCTATACTTCTTCAACTCCCTTCACCTTTTCCTCTTGTGTTTTATCCGACCCTCATCCGCCCAAAGCTTCCCCTCTCTAACTCTTGAGCCTCTTCCTCTAGTCTTAGTTCTAGAGAAGCCCCTCGCTTGGCAAGACCTTTCTCATCCCATTTTATACCACCCCTCCTGAAGAGTCTTCATCCTCTACTCAGTCTTATCTATCTGTGCTGTTGCAACTATGAGTGACCCCATTAGTCGGGGAAACCTCGATACAGAGGCACATGAGATACTCAAAGCCCCTCTCCCAAAGCAAGAGACTATAGTGGTATCGGCGGCTCCCTCTCCACATGATGATGGCTGTGCAGCCCCCACTGAACAGGAAATGGACTCTCTCCGTCGCGTCGCTGGAAGGGTCCGATGGACTGCATACACCATCGCCTTTGTTGAGCTGTGCGAACGGTTCTCCTACTATGGGACCACTGCTGTTTGTATGTAGTCTTTTCAGTCGCACGGGATATGACAATGACCCTCTCCAGTTGTCAACTTTATCCAACAGCCTCTTCCACCCAGCTCGAGCACTGGCGCCGGTCATGCAGGACAGTCGGGAGCTCTAGGCATGGGCCAGAGAGTCTCCACGGGCCTAACTACTCGTGAGCCCCCTCCCCAGGTTGCAAAGCCCCAAGAGATGCATAAAAAAAAGATCTGACATGCGAAGTGAATGCTTTCTGGTGTTACGTGACGCCGATTGTTGGTGCTTGGGTGGCCGACGAGTTCTGGGGCCGCCTGAAGACCATCCAAGTTGCCATTGCCTTTGCCATGGTTGGACATATTGTGTTGATCATCGCGGCTCTTCCTCAGGTGATTGTGCATCCCAGCGGTGCGTTGGGTTGCTTCATAGTCGGTCTAATACTCTTCGGAATTGGCGTGGGTGGTTTCAAGTATAGACACGCTGGTCTTTCCTGGTTGTTGATTCATTTACTAACAAATCAATAGATCGAACATTGCTCCCCTAATCGCCGAACAGCACAAGGAAACCCGACACTATATCAAAACTGTTCCAAAAACTGGGGAACGTGTTATCGTGGACCCCGCTCAGACAATCACCCGGATTTTCTTGTACTTCTACTTCATGATCAACGTTGGCTCCTTGCTTGGACAGATTGTCATGGTGTACGCAGAGAAATATGTTGGATTCTGGCTCTCGTTTGTCCTTCCCACCATCATGTTCGCCCTCTGTCCACTCGTGCTTTATGTCTGCCGCAAGAATTACGAGGTCACTCCCCCAACTGGGTCAGTGGTGGGGAAGGTGTTCAAGCTCTGGGCATTCGCGCTCAAGGGCAGGTGGTCTTGGAATCCTATCAGATTGTTAGTGCAAACTCTTCACGCCACTGACCAGCTTAGTTGACACCTTGCAAACAGTGTCCAGAACTGTCGAGCGAACGACTTGTGGGAGAACGTAAAGCCCAGCAAAGTCCAGAGGAAGCCGGTGTGGATGACATTTGACGACAAATGGGTAGACGAGGTACGCAGAGCCATCAAGGCATGCGCGGTCTTCCTCTGGTATCCTCTCTACTGTAAGTATCTGGGCCAAGGTTTCTAGACACTTCCATCTAACAAGGCTAGGGCTGGCCTACGGACAAATGACCAACAATCTCACCTCTCAAGCGGCCATCATGGAGCTTCATGGCGTCCCAAATGATATCATCATGAACCTGAACCCGCTGACATTAATTATCTTCATACCCATCATGGACCAGTTTGTCTATCCTGGAATCCAGCGATTGGGCTTCCAGTTTACCCCTCTGAAGCGGATGTACGCAGGCTACATGCTCGCCGCTCTATCCATGGTATCAGCCACCGTGATACAGCACTATATCTATAAAATGGGTGAATGTGGCGAGTATCCGGGCGAGAAGAGCTGCAAGACTCCTGCGCCCATCAACGTCTGGGTGCAAGCTGTACCGTACATCTTGATTGCTTTTTCAGAGATCTTCACCTCGATCACTGGATACGAGTATGCATTCACCAAGGCGCCGAAGAATATGAAGAGCTTAGGTATGTTCTATATATCCATTGTTTACTGCATCTACTAATATAAATATAACCATAGTACAATCTATTTACCTCTTTATGAATGCCATTTCGTCTGCAATCCAACAAGGTCTGACTCCTCTATCTACCGATCCCCTCCTAGTGTGGAACTATGGGTTCGTCGCTGTTCTTGCCTTCATCGGGGGCAATCTCTTTTGGATCACGCATCGCAAGCTGGACAAGGAAGAGGACGAGCTCAACAGACTCGAGGCGTCTTCCTACCTGGGCCGTGGACCACGCGCTCAAAATGAGAAAACCGATATCTAGCAATAGCAAGAATTTGCCTACGGAGTACGGAGTCAAGGTACGGTGTTCAACGCAGAGGTGCTCAATATGCATTGTGAAGTGAGACGATATGTTGTTCGATAACGGGACATGTCAGTGCACCGGTATGCACATAACAGATTGAAGAGAAACAAGATGATTATTTGACATTCCAGGAGCTCACATCGTAAACAGACATGACGAGACATCAATTGTAGAGGAGATTCATAGAATACAGTACAACCAGTGTACACACAGCCGCTGCAGCACCATGTGAGCTACCCAGCAGAGAAACAACCACAATGGAACGCCCTGCGCCACCCACGCAAGAAAAAAAGGAAATCACGAAGAAAGGATCTATAAACCCAAAACAAAAGACTTTTCAGTCCCCGCAAAGCAATGAAGAACCACCAAAACGCTTCAACCAAAGACAGAAAGAAGAAGTAAGCAAGTAACACAAGATCACTGCTGCTCCTTCTTCTCCTCCGACTTGACCTCCTTGGCCTGCTGCTGCTGCTGCTGGCCCTCCTTATGCAACTCAGGGTGCTCCCAAACACTCTGATGCTTCTTCTTCAACCTATCCTCCTCAGCAGCAACCATATCCTTCCACAGATCACCCTCGCCCTGACCCTGCTCCTGCGCAGGGAGCTCCTCAACAACATGACCCTGCTTAGCGCTCTCCTCCTCCAACCTCTTCTTCAAGATCCCCTTGCCCTTCTTCTGATCACTGATCTCAAACGCCGCACTAGCAACCAAGACCGCGAGCGTCAATCCCTGGGCGTAGACACGAGCCTGGACGATCTTCTGCTGGCCACTGAGATACGGGTTGCGGCCGACAAGCACAAAGCTCCCGATCATGGACGCCACCCACGTCGCCGTCACAATGGTGTACTTCTCCTTGCGGGCCCACGCCAGCGACCGCTCCATAAAGCTCATGCCCTGCAGCGACTCCTCGCGCAGCCGCTGCTCCCGGTTCTGGTACCATTGCTGGTCGGCGTTGCGCTCGGCTTCGAAGTTCCGCGATGAGTTGTCGGCCGCGATGATTCCGACGAACGTACCCGACGACGTCACCAGGAAGGCTTTCATGGGCAGCGTCAGGTTGCGGATTGTGTGGTACCGGCGTGAGGCGGCCAGGACGCCGGCGTATCCGCCGATTAGGCCCAGAACGGTGCCGATTGTGCCGCCTTTGAGGACTGCTCTGTTTTTTGAGTTTGGTTAGTTGGTGTTTTGGTGGGGGGAGTTTGGGAGGGATTGGGGGAGTTGGGATGAGTTGTATGGCGTTGAGGGGGTGGGCTAACCTGTAGTGAGCGTCTTCTTCTTCCTTGGTGAGGAGCTTCATGGTGTGTGTTTGTGTTTGTATTTGTGAGCGATGTATTAATGACAATTATATATGTGTGGTATCTGGAAATTCTTCAATCGAAGAAATGGAAGGTGTTCTGCAAAAACGGTATGGGAATCGAGGAGGAGGAGCTATGGCACCGGCGAGGATTTAAATAGCGAAGCGCACGAAAAAGAACTGACTCGGCGATTGAGCAAAGGCCGTGACGTACCGATGAATAACAATTTAGGTGTTCGGGGTCTGCCGGACAAAGCTCGGAAGCCATGGGTGGTACAGCGGGCTAAACTCTTTACGGGCACATGACGCCACACTTCTCGCGCGAGAAGAAATCGGCCTGAGTCAGCCGTTGCGGGTAATTTGGCGCCTTTCCGGATGGCATGATTGGCAGGTTACTCCTACCGACTCCGGTATAGACTTCCCGGAGAATATTCTTTCCATCGTTTGTGAAAGTATTGTATTGTTTGTTTCTAGACTAATGATTTAACAATCCCATGACGCCAGCACCCGAACCGTAGGTAACAACTTTGCGAGATAATCGGATAAAAACATAAGAAAATGCGATCGGCAAGACGAGGAGAAAAAATGAAGAAAGAAAACAGATATGGGAGTAACCATGCATTCGACATGTGGCAACAAGAATATGAATGAAAACGAATCAACCCTATCGACGCGATCCCTTCGACGCCGCAATCTGTCGTGCACGCATCTTTCGGAATCGATCCTCTCCACTGGCACCCAGTGGCCGTGCGAACTTGCTCTCCTGCACCATCGTCGGGCGAGGCACGACGGTATAGCTGGTATGTGTGATCTCGGCGCGGGCACGGTTCGCCAGACGAGGAGGAAGCAGTTCGCGAGCGCGCGCTTCTGCCGCAGTAGCCTGGGCCGATTGCGTAGTCCGTTGGACTTTTCTAGACAATCTAGTTAGTTTCTGATGCAGGTCAAGCAAACTTGGGGGGGTGTTGGAAGACATACCGAGGGTCGAATTCCGCTTCCTGGTAGACTCGTTTGGAGTAATCATCGCTGCGCTGGAGGATGGGGCGCGTCCATTCAGCAAGCAAACGCTCGGCCATACGCTTGATGCCAGCTTCGGGGCGTTTGCTCCGGGTGTAGAACACAATCACCTTGCCGATTCCACTAGCAACAAGCGCCTCCTTGTTGATCGGAAGCTTACCTAGCGCGGTCATCAAATCACGCTGGATATTGTAGGCCGGCAGCGAGCCGTCATCCAAAGGCTCCAGGAAGAACTTGACCGCCTCAAGCAGGTTGATTTCCGGGTCAACCAGACTGTTCACATATTGGTTGCGATTGAGTAGAGAAACCACCTCAGGCAGCATCTTCAACTTATGCATAGCGGGCTTGCCCTCCCGACGGCTGATGGCGTCCATCTGAGCAGCATGGGTCATGCGCTTGCGCATATCCTCAATCTCGGCATCGGCCATTTGTTCCAGGTCCTATCAATACCAATTAGCATCCAGCCACACAGTAGACATCAAACATCCAACATACAATCCCATCAGCCTTGCGAAAGCGCCTCTTAGTAGGTTTCTTCAGCGCCTCATCCATAGCACGATCCAAAGCCCTGCGACGGCCTACTCCAGTTAGCCCCACCGAGAAAGGAAAAAAGGTAAAAAAGAACAGAACATACGAGTAGCAGGATCCAACGTCTCATCATCCTCGGGGGTAGGCTCCCTCCTCTTCCTCTCCCTCTTCTTCGCCTTGGCCTCACCCTCATCACCAGCCTCCTCCAAGTCCCTCATCCTGCGACTCTTCTTCTCCCTGCGTCCCTCCCGCTTGCGCGTCGACCGTTCCCCATCCTCAGTCCTCTTCCGCTTATGTCGCCCAATCAGCTTCAGATTATCCTCGTCAATCGCCAACTGCGGCCGATCCTCGACGTCGACATTTTCAGGGTCAAAGTCCTCGAACTGCGCCTCGTCGACCTCCGACAGAATCGACTCGTCATCGGACCCGATATCCTTCTCATCTGCTGCGTCCTCGTCCGCAACCTCGTCGCCAGCGGATGCCTCCTCGACGGCTTGGGGCTCGTCATCGCCGGCGCCGGGAGTAGGCGCTTGAACGGGGTCTTCGTCGACTGGCTTGATCTCAGGGCTGGCAGACATGTTGGCTCAGTCTGTGTGGGGCGTGTAAGGCGTGTATGTTTCCGTAGAAAGTGAAGCAAGTCGATAGCGCCAGGCGCTCGCTCCGTTGCTATTGCGACGGGAGAAACTGATATCGTGTTGAGAGACTGATTGGTGTATCCTCCTTCGTCTTTCACTTTCTGTCCTAGATACTATCGGAGGCAATCTAAAACCGACAAGAAGGTAAAACCAAAACCAAAAGCAAGTAAGTAAGTAAGTAAGATGGATAAAAGAAAAGAAACCCAAATCTGGCGCTCACTAGTAACACTGACGACGGTTAAGTAAGTTGCAATGACCGCAGAAATTCCGCCTCCGCTGCTGGTCCGTGCGCTGGCAGAATCGTAGCCTCTTGCTTGAACTCCATCGTAACATAGCGTACCTTAACTTTCCTAGTCTTCAACCCAAGTCCGCTGTTGTCATTGTCTGCACGTTGCCGGTTCGCCTTTTCTTACATTTACCCTTTTTAGTACAAGATGTTCGCTCCCGGTATGTTTATCCTGTGGTCTTTTTTTTATTGGGAAGTTTTTCTTCGGGATGGTTGGGCTAATGCTGTGTTTCTGTCGGTTTAGGTCAGGAAACGCTCTCGAAGGAGCAGATTAGAGTATGCAGCTTTGCTTGCTTGGTTTTGTAATCATGGTGAATTGAATATGTATGCTGATGATAGGGTACAGGCTGGTGAGCAGGAGGCTCAGCAGACTATCCGCTCTGCCATTACCGGTGGTATCCTTCTGTATCTCTGTGAGTTGTTTCCTTCTTTCCATATTGCTGGGGAAAATAGATGAAGCTGACAGGTGCAGCTCCCTTCGCTATCGATTTCGTCAAGAAGTTCCTTTAAGCGGCCGATAATTCGTACGGTCTACGTTATGACGGGGATTCATTAGACGGCGTCACTTTGTCTGTTTGTTTGCTCGTGCCTAGCTAACGGCAGAGATGTATTATTATTGTACATTCGGGTTATCATTGCGGAAAATATAGAATGAAGATGGGGAAATGACAAAGTGTCGGTTTTTAGGGTTTTTCTTCTTCTTATCTAAGGGGTCCCGAATCGGATGAATTGCAGATGACCAGCTCCTATAACTCCTTGCTCCCGGACATTCAACCTAAGCCATGTATTCCCCCCGAGTGTCAAGATCAATCGTAGCGTAGCGAGCACAAGGCTAGTGATCTACCCGGCCTTGGAGCTTCTCTGCCTCGTCGAAGTCTTTCCTCACGGACTCCAGTTCCTTCTGCAGGTGCTTGATCTGGGTATGGTAGTCATCCAATATCTGGCTGCTGTTAGTAGGGGTCAAAACAGGGTCATCGGAGGCTTGGTGCCTACCTTCTTAGCAGTCTTCATAGTCTGTTCGTCCAGCTCGTCATCCGCCTGGGCAGCTGCACTCGGGCCAGCCTTCTCCATCTCCAGCTGCAGGCGTTTCGAGTGTTCCTGGATCGCCAGCATTCGAGCCCAGATCTCTTCTTCGCGTCCGTTCAAGGAGGGGTCGAAGACGGAGCGTTCCAGCAGGGCGAGTTTCTTCTTCAGCTCCTCCTCGGCGTCGTCCATCGCGTAGCCCCGGTTGCGGAGGACCTGGGTCTTGGCCGCAAGTGCCAGGCACCGTTTGCTCAATACGAGGTGCTTCCGCCGGCAGTCGGCTATCCTGACGGAGATCTTAAGGTCGTGACGGGAGAGCAATTCGGTGAGGCAGTTGTTGATCTCGTGAAGGCGGGTTTGCATCATTGTAAGGAAGTCCTTCTGTCTCTGGGCTCTCTTGCCCAGCTCGAAGAAGCCCCTCACAATAACAGGCACATAGCCTGGCGCGGGCCTCTTGCGCAACGCTTCCTCCCACTTCGATTCGTCATCGTCCGGACCGGGTTGGTAGAAAGGTGCCGCCTCCTCGCCGACATGGTTATACAAGTATGCTCGGAACGGAGAATTACGGCTGGCGGTATCCCACTTATCCTTGACGATCGCGATCTGTGTCGGAACGGTGCGATGTACTACGAGAATCAGCGCAATCCATCCATCTTCAACAATAATCAAACAAGCAAGACTAACCTCCAGTGACCGCGCGACCAGGCGACCAAAGGCTCGACCCGGGCTGTTGCACCGACTGGCCCAATTGAGGCTGTTGTTGCTGCTGCTGGCCCTGCTGTTGTTGGCCTAGTAGGGTTCCTCCAAACATACTCTGTTGTTGCTGCGGTTGCTGCTGTGTCTGACCCAATCCTCCGAAAAGACCGCCGCCCTGTTGCGGCGCTTGTTGCTGCTGTGTCGTCTGTCCCAGTGTGCCTCCAAACAGACTGCCCTGGGGCTTCTGCTGACCCAGCGCACCTCCGAACAATCCACCACCCGACTGTTGCTGCTGCGGCTGCTGTTGCTGTGTCGACTGGCCCAATCCCCCAAAGAGACCACCGGCGGGTTTCTGCTGAGCGGCAGTATTCCCGAAAAGTCCGCCCGTCTGCGGTTGATTCTGTGTCGTAGTGTTGCCGAAAAGACCACCGCTCTGCTGAGGCTGGGATGTCGCCGCCGACGCACCGAACAACCCACCACCAGCAGCAGGAGCACCCCCTGTCGCGCCCTGGTTCTGTGTCTGTCCAAAGAGACCGCCGCCGCTCTGCTGCGCTCCCGTTCCGGCGGTATTCGAGCCAAACAGGCTTCCTCCCGTGGCAGCGCCGCCAAAGGGGCTGGGCTTATTCGCGGTCGTCGATGACCCAAACAGTCCGCCGGACTGCTGGGTCTGAGTCTGATTTCCAAAGAGAGACATTACGGTACGTAGCGGAGTGCGAAGTCGGGGAAACGTGCGAGTAAAAATGGCGTGTGCAAATATCAACACTCAAAAGTAAATAAAATGAAAATAAAAAAAAAAAAAAAATACCAAAGCTCCGCACCAAGCGGCGTCGTTCTTGCAGATGGGAAAGTTCGGTCGACAGAGAATCGCAGATTGTCACCGTCCTGCGCGTATGCAAACTCAGTGTCGGTCCGAGATCTCAGCACCGCACGCTGCAGCAAAGCAGCAACTTCGTAGAGGGTCGGGGGTGCAGAACCACTGCAATTGAAACAGGCTACTTCCTTCACTGTACTCGTTCACTTGTGTCGGGAGCTGGTTTGTTTTTCGCCGTGTCACGTGAGACAGCTGTAGCAACAAGTTTCTTTCGCGCCTAAGGCAGGCATAGTATGACCGCCCTCGGATGCGGGATCAGACACGCCTCAGGCAGACATATTACATAACTGAGCTCAACGGACCAATGACAGACGAGCAAAAACCGACCTCCAAACTCCAGCATCACCCGGACTCGTCCATCCACGGCCCTCCTCTCTATACGGTCTCCCAATTCCCCAATTCACGCTTACGACCTGACAAAATGGCGGCCCGAGAACCTCAGTATGTTTCTCCCTGCGGCCACGGTCCCAATTGACTACCGCTGCCGGTGTTTGCCGTGTCCAATCGAGCGAGACGCTAATGCGGTTTCCATGATAGGTTCAACCAACAGGTCCTGGTGGACACCACGCCCATGCCGGCGGACATTCCCAGTGTCCAGGAAATCGGCGCAACCTCGGCACCCCTGACCAGTGCGGCGTACTTCATCGGCGACAAGTGCAAGGCTTTCAATGATGACTACATGAAGTGCAAGCAGGATGCCAACGGCAGGGGGGAGTTCGATTGTCTGAAGGAGGGCCGGAAGGTGACGAGATGTGCTGCTTCTGTGTATGTGTCTTCCTTCTCTGCGGGTGCTGTTCGCAGGGCTCCGGGGGGAAGTGGTGTGGTGAGAGGGTCAGTGGCTAACTGCATGCAGTATCAAAGATATCAACACCCACTGCCTGAAACAATTCACCGCGCACTGGGAGTGTCTGGAGAACAACAACCACCATCTGTGGGAATGCCGGAAGCCCGAGCTGGAGCTGAATAAGTGTGTTTTTGACAAGCTGGTTTGTCTCCCGTGCTGAGTAGCAGTTCTGTGGTCGGTGGTTTTGGCTAATCAATTCATTGCAGGGCCTCAAGAAGACAATCCCCGGTGCCCCCGAGGGCCAGACCCCGGTCCATCTGCGTCCCAAGCAGATTTATGCTCAGTTCCCTGGTCCTCAGTATTAGGTTTTGTTTTATGTCTGTCTGGTCTGGTCTGGTTTGTGGACTGTTTGTATGTGTACATATTAGCATAGGAATTGAGTGTCCTGGTTTCTCGGTCTAGTGTCGTGTCTACATCTTCGATCTGGTATTAGAAGGACTTGAGTTTATTTGGCAATTGCAACGCGACTTCTATGCTAGAATACAGTGAAGCCTTGACTCTAACCAACACCAATCCAACCTCCTGACATTAACATGGCATGACAAAAGAAATCACAGCGAAAGAAAGACAAGGGAATCTAATCAGGATATATGAAGAAGAATATGTACTCGAAGAAAAAAAACAAACAACAGCCAAACTAAGGGCATTTATGTACCTTGGACATCCGTCGAAGCCCTTTCAACTTCAACAACCGCGTCTTCACCTCGGCCCACCCGACCTTGAGCTTGTTCTCCAGCCGTCGGTCTCCGCGAATGCGCATCCAGATCAACAGCATCCCCAGAATGGCCAGGTCCCAGATGACCTGGCGGAGCGTGACCCAGACGAGCCATTTCAGCCACGCCCAGAGGCTATTCCGCCGCCGATGGGCCACGGCGCGGGCTTCCATCTGCTCCCGAACCGCGGCAATCTCAGCGGTCATGTTCGTCAAGGCCTGCTCGACTCTGCGCCGCCACCGCCGAGGATCGACATCCGGGGGTTTCTTGGGGCCGGTGCGCCCACGACCGCGTCGTACGGCCTCATCGGCGTCCAGCTCACTCCCCTCCTCGGGGCCATTGTTATACGAGCCATCGTCATGGTCATGATCGTCATCATCTTCGTCAAGATTATCCTGCGCCTCCGCATACTCCTCATCCTCGTCATCGTCCTCCTGCACCGGGACCCCACGGGACCCGTGCCGCTGAAACACCTCCTCCGGCTGACTCACGGGACTCAGCACGCGTAGCCGCGAGTCACCGCCGCGCGCCGTAGCCACCATATGCTCATAGTCAGGGCGAGCCAAGCGACCCCCGATGCTCCCATAGCTAGGCTGGGACAGCGACAAGGGCGGAGCAACGGCCTGCACGGGACTACTACTGGACGCCGACGACGCGGAGGTATTGATCTTGACCTGGTCCCAGACGAACTCGAGCTCGGAAACCAGCTCGCGGGCCTCGGGCGTCTGCGACGCATAGCGGTGCATGGTCTCGATGAGCGTGGAGATGTATCGACGTTTGGCCTCGGTGCGGGATAATCCACGTTGCGCGAACCATGCATCCCTGTTTTTTTTCCCTCTCCCTTTCAGTATTGACCCCGGAAATCAAATGGGGGAGAAACCTACCACTTCTCGCACTCCGCATACACATCCGCCGTGTTCCCGACCGGTCGGTCCATCACCCCCTCCACGTCGCCCTCTGTTTTCCCCCTGTCCGTCAGTATATCTCCTCTCCGAGACAGTATCGGGGTAGATCCATACCCATGCTTTGTTTGTACAGGCCATAGAGCTTCAATCGCTCCGAGGCCGGCGGCCGGGCGGTGCCGGTACGGGGGATGCGTTTAACGGTGTTGAGGGCGTGGACGAAGACTCGATCTGTAAATTTTAACCATAAATATCAATTCACCTTAAACCAAAATATAAAAAACAACAATCAATCGAATAAAAAGAAAAAGAGAGACATACCCACAGAATCCGACATGGTGCTATGTTAAGTAAGTTGCTCGCTTCATCAGAGCACAAGGATCTCAGGCACAGATAAGCACCGTCATGGATAACGATAAAACGGCCGATGTTTCCCCCCAAGAACTCTCACCAAACGAGCGTGTGAAAAGAGCCAAAAAAACAAAAGAAATCCCACACCCATAAACCAAATAATATACACGCAACCCGAAAAGTAACCCCAACAAATACAAACAGTCAGGACAAGGCGACGAGAAGGAAAAAACTTGGGGGCGTGCCCGACGTTTACAAGCTTTCCCCGGATTTCCGGCCAGCCACAACCAGAAGGCGAATTGAGCGAGGTTGGTTGCGCTGTGTCGCGTTCAATTCGGAAGGAATGTTTGGAATTGTGCTTCTTGCGCTCCCCCTTTTTTGGCTCTTGTTTGGACGTTTCCTGTGAGGGCGAAATAGGGAGTGAGGAAGTGGAAGTAGTTAGTTAGTTCGTAGTTAGTTAGTAGTAGATCGGTGGTGGTGCTCGAACCCTTTGACTGGCTGGTTGATTTGGCGTGGGTGGAAAAGTAACCGCGGCTCTCGGAGGCTGGCGCAGTGACATGACTGTGATCGTTCAGTCCCTCGAATTGTTGTACTGCGGTGCCCCAGCGGATACTTATCGATCAGGCCATATCTTTGTTATATCTCTATTTTTACATATTCTCGTTTTGACAGGACTACAATTGATTTCTGTATATTCTCATGTTCATAGCACGGGTTGGGTGTATTATAACTTGAGTTGATTGTATTTATTTACTTCCCAACAAAATAGACTCCTCGTATGTACATGTGAAAGACCAAAAAAAAAAAAACACCGAGCAATACCTAAATAATTCCATCGATCGTAATTCCAAATAAGACAAGGGGGGAAAGAAGAGAAGAGCCAATCACTTCTTTTCATTAAGGGTCGCATCGTCCGGATAGGCATTTTCGGCATCAACAGCCTTGCCGGGGATCACGTCGGCCACGTCTTCGCTCGTGACAGGTGGGCCCGTGAAATGCTTCCTCGCATACACGACATACCAAGTGATACTAATCGCTGCGAAGCCCGCGAACACGACGCTGGCGTAGTTCATGCTCGACGCATCGACCGGTAGCGACACGGGCATGCAGAAGAGCACCACGGCCAGCACAATCCAGCAGACGGTGACGATGTTGATGGCGTATCCGAAGCGGCCCAGGGAGAAGGTCGATTCCTTGACGGCCTGGCGCCCGCGGATTACGTTGATGAGGATGGGGACGCCGTAGGAGGTGGAGAGGCAGATGGTGGCGACGCCCGTGAAGGAGTTGAAGGCGGCCGTGGATCCGAAGAAGATCAGGCCGAGGAGGCAGTCGATGACGGTGGAAAGGAGGATGGCGTACACAGGCACGTCGAGGCGGTCGTTAACCTTGCGCCAGATGCGGAAGCCGGGGATGGCGCCGTCGCGGGCGAAGGCGTAGGTGCATCGACTGGCAGCGGTGAGGGCCCCGATTCCTGCGAACATGAGGATGCCCAGGATCAAGAAGAGAAGACCGAATCCGCCGGCGGCGGACCCGGTGACGGTTTTGAAGACCAGGCCGATGGGCTGGCCGCTGGCGACGTTGAGCAGGGTCTTGACGTCGGGCAGGACGAAGAGGATCGGGACTAAGTAGACGACGCCGGTGATGCCAGCGGCGACGACCGAGAGGACGATCGCTTTCGGGACCTCGCGGTGTGGGTTCTGCACCTCTTCACACATGGCGGCCACCATGCCATACCCCGTTAAGGTATATGCCGCCTGAAGGAGGCCGACGAAGAAGGCCCATCCCGATGGCCTGCGAGGTCGTCAGTCGGACTTCGAAAATCCAGAAACAAAACAAAGAAAGGGGAGAAAGCCTTACCATCCGCTCTGCGACGCATCATAATGGCCAAAGACATATGCACCGTCGTGGCGATGGTCCGCCATGGTCAGGAGGGTAATCAAGATGATCACCACGCTCGCTGCAGTCCAGAAGATGCACACTTTGTTGATGATGTCCAGCCATCGGGAAAAGAAGATGTTGACCATCGCGCAGACCCAAATCACTGCCCAGAACATGAGGATGGTCTGCCAGGCATTGGCCACGAAATCCTCGTTCCACAGCGAGATGGCACTCAGAATCAGCTGTCCTCCGGAGAAGGTAATGCTCAGGGTGACCGTCCAGTTTCCCACGAGGGTCAGCCAGCCATCCACAAACGACATCATCGGGGCCCATTCCTTCGTTGACAGCATGGCGCTCCAGTAGTAGACGCCGCCGGCGGTCGGGTACACGGCGCAGATTTCGGCGAGGGAGGCGGCGATACCAATGGAGATGATTGTGACGAGGACCCAGCCCCAGATGATGCTCACGCATTGGCCGTCGGTGAGGGTGATGTACAGGGTGGTGCTGAGACCGAAGGGTGCGGCCATGATGGCGAAGGAGCTGAGAAATGGTGTTAGTTGTCATTGAGTAGAGAGCAACACCTTCAGAGTAGCGCAGGGTACTACATACAGACCGAGGATACTCAACATGCTCAGGTTGCGAGGCAATTCACTCTTGTAGCCCATCCGGGCCAACGCCGCATCGGCGTTGGCATCGGCGGAGCCTTGACGCATGACTGGAGGAAATTAAGAGCTCAAAGACACGGGGCAGATATGAAAGGAATCCAGAGTCATCCCGACAAGATCAATAGAGTTAAAGATATCGCAGTAGGGTAGTAGTTAGACCAGCTCCTACTAGCACAGCTACCTTCACTCCCCAGGCTAAGGCCGGGGAGCGGAGGCATATAAGTAGTCGTCCGGATAGCATCCATGACCGATGCCCATCACCAAGAGTCCGGGGTACGACACGAGACCAGGAACCTAGAGCAACTCCACTTGGGGTCTTGGATTGTCCCCTCACGAGCCTAAAACTGGTTGGATCGACTGATAAGCCAATCCGGTGTCGGACTAGCGATGGGCGGTCCGAGACCGCGCTGATAACCGTGGGATTTATAAAGCGTTCTGCACGAGGTTATCATTAGACCTACTAAGCCCTATCCTTTGTGCTTATCATGGCTGGGCGGAGGGCCGCATAGCCAGATACTACCCTGGCGGATAGGCAGCAGAAGAAAGTCTCCTTCTTTCCCGTTCTCTTGTTTGCCTATTGACATCTCGACTAGATAACAGGTCAGAGCAACTTAACCCCCAACGTTAGACCCGAACGTCAAACGGGTGTGTACAATACATGTAGTAGGTACCTTGGTTTGCCGCTGAACTGCATGACATGCTGCGGAATGTAAAACGCCTCCGTCTGCAAGGCGAACGGAAACTTAAATTGACATCGTGAACCCTAGCATCAAGCTGTGGCCACTACGTAAGGTCTGGACCAAAGTGACGTCTGATGGTAAAGAGCATAGCTGTTGCGCCGTTTCCTCGTATTCAGGAGAAAGCTAAGGAGCCAGCGTCCTGTGGTCCATGCGGTGGAGTGCAACCCAACGGAACCACTCTTTGCCCTCCCGAAATGCGGGGGATTCAAAAGGATGTTCAACAAATGGTCCGCCACTGCTTATCTGTCTTTTCTTTATGCTAACTCGATCGGTCTATTTCTACGACTCCCTCCCATCGGGCACACGGTGTGAGATATTTCTAACATTCCATTCACAGCTATCATTCCAACATACATATATCTGCGAGTGTCACTCAGAAAGTGACGGCTGCCACATCCGTTAACCGTCCTGTCCACAGTTCTCCCTCGCGAGAACAGAGCCGTCCATCAGTGCATGGGTCACGGTCGGGGCAAAGACAAGGATGAGCGCCAGGAAAGAAGAGAAGAAAAGGTGGAGGGTGTCTGGAAACGAGAGGAATGGGAGGGAACCGTTGAGGGATATGAAAACAATCCGAGCGTGGTGAAACACTGGGAAATCGGGGGGTATCAAACAAAAGGGGCATGAACGTGTATATGATTATGGAAACAGGACTTGCTCGGGAATTTTGGAATTATGGCTTTTTTCTTTTTTTGGCTTCTCTTGAATCTCTAACATACGTGAAGGTCCGCAGTCCAGGGCGAAAGTAGGCCCAGTATCTTCGATGGAAAGTCGAAGTCCCGAAATCCCACAAGGGGAAGTAGAGGGGGAGCGGACAGGGACAAAATAAACATAAACAGAGGGGGGAAAGTGAGGAAGGGAGAGAGGGAGGAAGGAGGGGAAATGAAGGGAGGTATCGTCGACCACAGGCCGGGCGGGTCTTCTTGGGCGGGTGGTGGGCCAGTCTGGGCATCAACAACGGCCTTGCCACCTGGCGAGCGCTTCCCACCGCCACTTTGCAAGCATTCGCGACCTCCGTTAGCCTGTACATCGGCTGCCTTCACCGTCAAGTAGGAGATAAATAGATAATATGACCACGGCCTCGTCGCAAGGCCTTAGCTGAGTCGTAACCAGCCAGCTATCGTCAAAACTCCGTCGTGGTAAAAATAAGATCCAAGGGGGTCACAAAAGATGAAAATCAGAAATGAAAACACAAAAGCTAAAAACGCCCAATCATGCAGTCGTCAATCAAATCGTTACATGGAGATGATGCTGTTATACCGGTATGCAAGTACACACACACAAAGTCGAGGAGGGTGGCCCGATTCAAGGACTAAGAACGTTGCAAAGATCGTCCGTGGCGTCCATTCCAAACCCAGCCATGTCGACAGAGTGCAAAGAACCGGGACCTCGACCCAAGGAGATGTCAGATGAGGCATAGTCGTGCTTCAACCGCTCGTGAGGTCCAAAAAACGGCCGAGTTTCTTCGTTGGGCGTGTTTCCATCGCCTGCAGCCCAGGGGCCATGCTGCCAGAACCGTGTGTTGGCCTGCTGGTCGCCAAAGAGGTCATGATGGTCGTGATGCGTTTCTGGTCCGTGGGCGTTGAAATCGTTCGGTGATTGGAAGCGCAGGTGCGTCCGGCTGAAACTGGAGCACGGAGAGTCCGCGTGGAGCGGGAAATCCAGACCTGACAATGGCATGTCCTCGACGGTTGTTATGTCTATCG